TGACAGACATTCTGAAGAGGAGAATACCTAACACCTTGAAAAGAACGCTGCCCATTGTTCTTCAATAACTCTAAAGAAAAAACTATCACATTTGACCACTTCGATATGTATCTACCAATTTACCTGCTCATGTGGAGCGAGATATATAGGTCGTTCGATGCTTGTTTTATCTAAAGGATTTCAAAGAATATTATCCCACTTGGCTACGAAAAGGTAACAAAGGATAAATATGGAGAGCTATAATTGAACATATATTCAACACTGGTCCCAGAATTTATAAGGAGAATTCATCCAAAATCATCTACAAAATCAAAAAGAAGCCTCCCGATAACGGTAAGCTTCCGTATAATTTGCATTGCCCAGGCCTTAGCGATCCAGATAGAAAACCCTGACTTATGTACACAGAAGAAACTTCTCCACCCTCTCCTTCTACCTTGAGCATAAGTCCAAGGTCAACTATTTTGTTATTAATAATATTTTCTGAATTTTTGTATGATATTTTAGTAACATCTTTTTTTCTTAACTAACCTTTTATTTACTCTTTCTACCTATTACATAATTTATTCTGGACATATGTCTCCATGCTCTTTCATTGACATCCTATTTTTCTGGGTGTCTTTCGTATTACGTAACCCTTGTCAATACCTTCTAATCTTCACCCACCCCCTAGTTATAATTAGATTATTCATCACATTTTCTGAGACATTTTGATGACATAAACAATAACCCTAACTAATTTTTGTTTGAAAATCCTGATGTACACACACACACACAAAATAATTACAAATAACCGCGATTGCACAGCTACGTGAATAAATTCGCCGCAGAAAAGAGACTCTTCGCTGAAATGTTTCTTCTTATAGGTTAGAAAAGACTTATGAATGGTCAAATCAAAACATGCTATCAATCCGTGAAGTCGTTGACTGTTAATGTTAGTCATTTTGAGAAGTTCAGACTGTCTGGTAAGAGTCAGAGAGATACTAAGAGCCAGAGGTTCGAAATTGTTGATGAAATGCCTCAAAATCTTTCCCAATGGGTAGATACATTCAGGCTTTATGAAGTCCCACGACGAAGCTAAACTTTGGACATCCGAAAAACCAGTGACCTTGAAACGCTCAATCAGCGTAAGGCAGTAAAACCATGTAAAAATACTACACGCATGATAAAAGGTTATGATTCCCAAATCTAATAGTATAAATAATGACTGCTTCTCATGTTTTAACACGAATGATGTCCTCAAGTGTCTTCAGTCTCTCAAACCTACCCAGTCCCTTGGTCCTGGTGGAGGTCCTGCTGTTATCCTTAGGAAGTGTGCTGACATCTTATGTTACCCATTAACCGACATTTTCAATGAATCTTTTTCCAAAAGTATTATTCCTGACTCATGGAAAAATATCAAGGTTGTTCCAGTGCCTAAATCAACAAGTGAACCTACTGTTAAGTTTAGACCCATTGCTATTACCTCACCTTTTTTAAAAGTTATGGAAAGACTTATTTTACTTAATCTTGAACCCTCTTTAAAGCCTTTCAATGACCCCAACCAGTTTGCTTATAAACATAGTAGGTGTACCTTAGATATCGCTGTTGTTCTTTATCATAATATAGTCTCTAGTTTAGACAGAGGAGCCAAATATGTTTGGTGTGCCTTTCTTGATTACACATCTGCATTTGACTCTGTACCTAGGTCTCTCTTGTTAAGTAAGCTTGCTGCAACACAGAGTGAGAGCTGGATAAATAAGTGGTTGTATTCCTACTTTTCTCATAGGAAGCAGTACACTGTCTACAATGGAAAGTCCTCCACTACCTCACTTACTTTAGCTGGTGTTCCTCAAGGTGCTGTTCTTTCTCCTTTTCTGTTTTCTGTTTTCTTACATGACTTGCCCCATTCTGATGTAGCAACTTTTGTCAAGTATGCTGATGACCTCTCTTTCTCCATGCCTGTCAACTCTCAGTCAGACTGTTCCATATTAAATAACTTTCTCTCGGAAATTAGTCAGTGGTCCTCTTCAAACGGTCTTAAGCCGAGTCCGTCTAAATATCAGGTAGTCAATTTCACTTTCAGACGAAAAAGTGACCTACAACAACTAGCTAGCTCACATGGTCCCACTATCATTGACGGCATAGAGGTTGAAACTACATCTAATGTCAAGTACCTTGGACTGAGTATTTCCTCCGATCTTTCCTGGTCCTCTCACATCTTGCTAGTGACTAGAAAGATGTTTCGCTTAACGTTCTACATTAGGAAGTTTAGGCAGTCTGGTATAAAGCAGTCTTTGCTTTCTCAGTTTGTCAATTCTTGTATTCTACCCATCCCTCTTTACTGCTCCCCATTAATCTTTCCTGGACTACTTAAGAAAGACTTTGCTTCGCTGCGTAGGGCACTAAAAGCTGTTAGTAGGGCAAGTGGGATTTCGTCAAGCCAACTGGTTAACAGCATTGTGGATAGACATATAATGTCATGTAAGAAACTAGCGAATTCTATATTGTCAGACCCCGAACACCCTCTCCACACGCAGCTCTCTCCTTGCATTTCATCTGGTAGAACTAGAAGCAACTATAGGAAGCTATATGCCAGGACTACCAAGTATAAAAACTCCACAATACCTTATCTGGCACAGCTGTTATGTGATGAGAAAACTGTTAGGCATGACACGATCACCTTACTGCGGCACTCTAACAAATAGTTCTCATTAGCTTTTGTTCTCCTTTCTTTGTTACTATTATATTGTTGCTCATATATTCTATTACAGACTAATTTTATATTTCATATCCTGTGGTGCATTGTTTAAATATGTGAATGCAACGCTGTTCTTTTTTATTTCTTTTAATTATCTTTTTTCTTTTTGTTGTTGTTACTCTTTGTTTTTAAAATCTTGTAAAATTTATGAGGTAATTAGATGCAATATTGTAATGAACGCTGAAAATTCCATACCTGTACCACAAATACTGTTTGGAATAAAGCCATTATTATTATTATTATTATTATTATTATTATTATTAAATAGGTTTAAGCATATTAAACAGCCCATCTAGTCAGTTTTGAGGCAGGTTATGGAAAGATTAAAATTAGGTTTAGAATGGAAACAGGTTAAACTGTTCCTAACAGTTGGGTTAAGCTAATCAGGGAGATACTAGGGCTAGTTAGGATAAAAGCTGGTGGGTTATGGTTAAACTAGGGGGTCAAAATTTGCTTTTAAACGCAACTGATAGGCTCTAAATTCAGTCCTGCTCAACGCCCCTTGATGGTCCCTTAAATCCCTATCATTCGGCATACAATTAGTCTTTCTCCAGTATATTTCCGTCCATCAATGTGTTCCATATGATGTGTAGCAGCAAGTTGAACCAAAATTGCTGCACTTTTGTGCAAAACGCTTCACTTTGAAGAATGAGTTCAGAGTTCAACCACTACATAATACTGTTCAACTTATACACTTAAAAAAATAAAATTCTAAATGTAAATTATGTATCCAACTCATAAATTTATTATTTTATGTACGTCTTCCTAATCAACTGATCAAAATAATAGATTAACTTCTGTAGAGACTGCTGAGTGACTTCCTGAGCTAGGTTGTTCATTGCTCGAGTAGAACCTGAATGAAGAACGACGAGTTGGCTGTCAGTCAAGCAATGAAATGCAGGATATCATGTTGTGGTGAGAGCTGTCTGCAAACCACAATTATAGACAACAATTTACATCAATGTTCACGTCTCGAATCACGGTCATGAGAAAAAAACAATAACAAAGCTTAACCTTGAGGAACTCACCAACCAATCACAGAAGACAACGTGTACAAACACGATTCGCAGACATTAGGCTTAACTTTCTAAGAAACGGTCACAAGCAGTACAGAATAACCTTGAGCAAGAAAACAACCACTCAGAAGACGTTGCTTCTTTGCTAACAATAAACGATCTGTTGCCTGACCCTTGTCTTCTGTCGTTACAATGTAAAGAAGTGATGAAAGTGATTGTTGAGAACAGAGTAAAACGAAGGTGTACTGTTGAAGCCCTATATCTCCCCCAATTAACCCACAGGAATAATAATAATTATTATTATAATGCGACAAACAGCGGGAAATGAGGAAACAGGCATAAAATGGACTCACACAAAAAACTTGGAGGATCTGGACTTCGCCGATGATATATGTCTGATTTCCCACAAACTGGAAGATATGCAAGCGAAAAGCAACAAGTTGGCAGAAGAAGCACCAAATATAGGACTTCAGGTGAACATAGAGAAAACAGAGGTGATGAAGATTCTTGGGCAACACCATCACCACCACCAACAACAACAACAGACAACGATCAGCATAAATGGGAGGAACCTGGAAGAAACAACCTCTTTTACCTACCTACCTAGGAAGCATCGTTTCAACTACAGGCGGAACTGACGAGGATATCAAAGCAAGAATCGGAAAAGCAAGACAAGCTTTCACTAATCTCAAGTCTGTGTGGAGGTCGACAGCACTACTCAGCATCAAAAATAAGATCCGGATTTTCAACTCCAATGTGAGGTCATTGCTACTATACGGATCAGAGACTTGCACTGCGCGTCATAAAGAGCACTTCAAACAAACTACAAACCTTCATCCACAGCTGTCTTCGCTCAATACTCAAGATCAGATGGCAGGCCAGAAAAGATCAGCAACAGGGATCTCTGGGAGCGAACCAACCAGGAACCGATTGTGAAACAAATAGGCAGGAAGAAATGGAGATGGATTGGCTGGCCATACTCTGAGGAAACAAACCATCAAGTGACATCACTAGACAAGCCATCGCTCGAGTGGAACCCAGCCGAAAGGGAAGCGGCGAGTTGGTCGTCAGTGCAAGGGTGACTTGGAGGAGGTCATGTGAAGAGGAGATGAAAATGTGTGAGCAGACATGGAGCCAGGTGAAGACTCTAGCAGAGAACCGAACGCAATGGAGACGCATGGCTGAAGCCCTATGTTCCTCTAGGAATTAAAGGAAACAATAATAATAATAATAACAAATACACTTACTCCATTTTACAAGACAATGTAATGTATTCACCAATACACGTAACAGATAAGCATTATGCTTCACTCCTGTAGCAATCAATGTCGGTATAGTTGAAAGTAAAGCTGTTGCTGAATTCAACAATCCACTAGTATAATGTGTAGTCAGCTTTGAATTATTTACACTACCTGTTGACGACATGCATGATGTTGATGTCGGTGTTGATTTGACATCTTTTTGGCGTAAACGTTGTATACACGCAGCAGCTGAAGCGATAGCAGTCACAGCTGCGATCACTTGACTTCCAACAATCAAGCCATTCTCATTTCCAATATAAACACCACTAATTGCTGATTGGTTAGAATTTAAATTATTATTATTATTATTATTGTGACTTGTTACTGACGTTACCATTGGTGATCTCGATAATGATTGGTCATTATTGTCATTCATATTAGTATTACTATTAGTATTATCCTTACAATGATTTCCATTAATTGAGGGGCTGATAAATGGGATAAGTCCGTTAGAAGTATGACCAATTGTTGAATTAGACGTTTTATTATTAGTAGTAGTAGAAGTAGTATTCGTATTCATTATCGTACTTGATGAGATTCCTGTGACACTGACAGGAATTCTACATTGATTTTGTGATGATGTTAACACAGGGGTTATTGTTGTTGTGGTTGTGCTTGCAGCTGTTGTCGGTGTTGGTGCTCCTCCTCCTCCGAGCGACGATGATGATCCCGGTAAAGATGATATATCTGGTGTAATTGGTTTAAACAAATGTAGTCCAGATATAAGTGATATTAAGCGTATAATTAGACTGATAGCACCAGAACGTCCCAATATAGACGAGTTGCTTTTACTGCCACATTTTCCAGATACATACAAGCGTATTATATGCAGGAGAATACTTAAATTTCTATGTACACTTGATGAAACTACTAGGCCAGTTGAAGATGATGACGGCGGCATTCCTGTCAGTAGTAGTGAGGATGCTGCTGTTGACGAGGAGGCTGGCGATGGTGATGATGATGATGATGATGGCAAGTGTAGATTATTTATAAAAGGAGTAGTATTCATTTGTCCAATATTTCCATGTAATGAATAAAGTGTAGAACTATTGGGAGTAGTAGAGGTGGTGCTGGTTGTGGTGATAGAAGTATTAGTACTGCTACTATTGGGTGTATTCACTAACTGATTATAATATGATGTAATATTTGTATTCAGTGTGGAGGTGGCTCCATTTGTAAGGGTTAAGGATAAGGTAGAATTAGAAGTTGATGAACTCAATATAGCTACCTAAAATAAGATGAAAGATGCGTAAAGAAGAAATTGATTATATTGGTTAATTTTAATGTCATTTTGATTAAAATATTTTTCAAGTGTTCATCTGTGGCAGTCTGATCACCTTCAAGTTAGATTATTGATTGGAATCAGTTATAGAATTCGGAATTCCATTTTTTGGATGTTTTTCTAAAGAGGAGATCTGATGGTTCTCTTCAAAGATCGATCTACAGGAAACCAACATGAAATGGTCAGTACACAAATTTCCATAGCTGGGTCCCTTTGAGAAGAAAGAGAAATCTGATCCATTCCTTAACCTCAAGAATAAGGAGGATATGTTCAAGTGATACAATCAATAGGGAACTGGGGCGACTCAGACAAGTCCTCATAGGGAATGGATATCCTCTAAGATTTATCGAGAAAAACATGAAGTTAATGGGAAAGCCTGAAAGAATCCAGACGGTGCCAAAGAAACTGCTATTTATGAGTGTTGAATTTAAAGGTGATACCGCAGCTGAGATCCTAAAAAATCGCTTATGCAGATCACTGAGGAAAGCCCACTTTATGGCTAAGCTGCGTATCGATTTCTACAGCCGACAAATGATCAACGGATGTGTGAGGGATAAACTACCGCTTTGGGCCGCCTCAATGTCTGTTTACTAATTCACCTGCTCGTGTGGAGCTAGTTATATTCGCGACACAAAGCGCACGCTTTCCAAACGCATTTCTGAACATTAACCGGCATGGTTAGCAAAGGGACAATGTAAGACAATTACTAGCTCAATTCTCGAGCATTTGGTGAACTCAGGCCACGTAGCTCCATCAGAATCGTCTTTCAAGATCATCTACAAAGTGAAGCCAAATGCTACAAAGGGAGTCAGGTTTCAGCTTTTATGTATGGCGGAGGCGCTGGCAATTCATCAATACAACCCTGAACTCTGTATACAGAAAAAGTTTGTCCAGTCTCTTATTCTACCTTGGTCTTAACCTCTTCACTAGTCGTTCCCTGTAAAAAATTTTGATTTTTTCTTTTCTTTTTCAATTTTTAATTTTACTTTTAGTTTGCTTTTGCTTTAATAATTAATTCACTATTATCACTCTCATATGTTCCTTTTGTACATTTTCTCACCTTCTTCACACTTGTTAAATTGACACTCAACTACCTTTATTCTTACTCAATAGCAATTTTAACCTTATCAAATTTCTAACGGTTTCTTCCCGTGTGCCGTTGAGTACCACGTGATTTACAACTTTTAATTTTCACTTCTAAAGCAACTTCTGAGTACTTATAGATTTATTAAAAACCACGGATTACCAGACTGGTAGTTATGCAGGTCTACCTAGGGGAGCTGAATAACCCCCCCCCCCAATTCAAACCTACCGTGTATAAGGCCTTCAGAATCTATTGTCTTGTGGATTAAACTTCACTTCAAAAGCTTGGACGGGGAGTAGTCCCTTAAGATAACCGCCTACTTCGGTCTGGGTATCCGGGGACTATTCTAGATCTCCTCAAAACTATGAGGTTTTGTGTTGCACATCTCTTCATGCTCATTATGAATCAAGTTTTTGCCTTAATAATAACAAGTAATACTTAATGGCCAGCTGTTTCGTTCTACTCTCAGCCTCTTCATCAGTGCCCACCCATGACCATATCGAGGATCGAACCTAAAACTTTCAGATTACCAGGCGATATCCTTAATCATTCAACCACTGGGACGGAATCGAACGCCCATCTAATGAATTCTTACTTCTGCCAATTCACGATACATAACGCTACCGCCAGCCAGTGTCAACGGAGAGTATTTTTTCCTCAGACCTGACCTTTTGAACTCCTGAATAATTGACTTCGTGTGCTTACGGAAGTGTGCGAGAGGTTATTACTTCACGTTTGCCTTCACCTTAGAAACTGTTTTCTTCTTAGAGTACCTGAAATATAAAGAGCATTATTATTGTGTATAGTGCATCGGTGGCATAGCGGTTAGGACGCTCGCCAACCATGAACATGGTCCGGGGTTCGATCCCCGGCCGACGCACTCCTTTACCTCGCGAAGCCAGAAATAATGCTGGTGAAGAGGAAAGGTTGGGCATGAGGCTAGCAGCCCCATCCTGTAAAATAAACACTGCTACAGAAACTTCAAGCCACGAGCTTGAAGCCCTATGTTCCACTGGGGAACGTGAAGGAAAAAAAATTATTGTGTATAGCCACAGAGCCTAAGGAACAACTGCTTGAGGCCAATCACACACGGTTTGTTTGGAGTGGTTTATGAAGTCGCGCCCATATTATGATCTTACCTACCGCTACGGACCACCGCCTTAAGGTAAGTTGGGATGTACAATTTTTCGTTGTCGACTTTTTTAACCTTCCCTCTCCAGAGTGGAGTGGCAGCACAGTTGGCTTGCTGATCATTTGAAGAAAACGCCTTACTACTGTTATTTTCCTATTCACCAGCAGTACGACTTCGACCACAGATCCCCGAAACAGTATAAACAATTTGCCCTGCTGCTTTTAGTTTAACCACTATCCAGACGAACTTTCTACCACAGCAGGACTGCTAAAACATTAGTTCCCGCCACTATATAGTTCGCTAAGTTATTGCGATATGCCAGCCCAACCATTTATTTTATTTTTATTTATTTTATTTATTTTGATTTACAGCTTGATTCCACACCGTATTTTCAGTACAAGTGTGGAATTTTCAGCATGGATATCGGTAGCCCAAATTCAGGCCGACCATAGATATCGGGTGTGCGCCGATAGCAGCTATCGGCCAGATGGTGTAACCCGCTTGGGTACACACCCCACTAGAACTCCAGGCAACTGCGTACAATAATCAATCCCTAATAAGCATGAGACTGATTTTCAAGTGTTCGTTTGCGGAGATTTGATTGGTTTAAAGCTAGATCATGGATCGATACCACATTTATATACATATATGATTTGAAATGTCACCTGCTTTAATGGAACTAGTCATATTGTATCCTTAAATGTAATATTGTGTGAGGGCTGATGATACTACTCAATTGCCCAGGCAGAAGTAGACGGAGAGAGACTCGAACCCCTTGGAGCCTATTCACAGTTGAAAGCCAAGGCCTAGTGCTTAGGCCGGTGGGATACAACTACACAAAATGTAACCTAGTGACTATTTACTCACTTGCACACACGTTTCTCTGTATAAAAATATTCTCTCGAATTCTTTGACTGCAACGCTTCGATGTTTTATAAAACCCGCATATTTATAAAAGTTATTCTTAGCATGATGTAGAAGCTGGCGAAAAGAAACTGATCGAAAGGACTGTTCCTCTTTGTTCAATCACTGATCTATGTTTTATTTGTTTATTTAAATGAGGAATTTTCAAACGTTAGAGTGATTTTAAAAGATGAGGGTAAAATTAATCGCAAGGTGTTCCTTTTTTTACGCTCAGCAAAGCTAACACTACAACAGATATTTCAGCTGTGTAAAAACAGATCGATAAATCACCGTAAGGACAACTAGAAGTAACATGACAGCTGTTTCTCTATTCACATAATACAAAACCATATTTGATCAGCTACCTGAGGAAATTTGGATCGTAATTTACCGCCCCCTCCATTTTCCTAATTTAAATAGGCGGGAAAGAAACGGAAGTAAATTTGTTTTCGCGATAACTTATATTTTTTTTCAAGTTTGACCACAGACTGACAGACAGTGACAGAACTGTCACTGAAAACCAGCACTAGAGTAATGGACAGCGGTTTCGTCCTACTTTGGTACTCACTCATCGGCAGTACACACCCACCAGATTTCGAACCCAGGACTTTCCGGTTATAAGGCGAGCTTGTAGACCATTCAGTCACTGGGACCAGACTCATTGACCAGCCCATCAATTCTAACTTCTACAAATTCGTGATTAATTTAGCGCGACTTGCAACAGCTTAGGTCATTAGCGGCGAGCATTTTTTCTCATTCCCGACAGGATGAACCCCGCAATTACTCGATTTCAAAAGCTAGGAAGGTCATCAGTAGAATAAACGATCTTTTATCACTGTATTTCACTAGATAAAATTACTCTATTGAAGAGATCTGGAATTTCTTTTGTAGCATATTAAAAAAAGTTTCAATGTTTTGCACATGAATTAATGTGATGATAACTACTACTGATTGACTACTGATATGAGTGGTAGAAAATCATTTTTACATCTAATAGTAGGGCTCTTTTTAGCCAGAACAAAGCGATTTGAACAGCAGGTGACCATTTCACCTATTCGGAGCCGAGTTTATCAACGATGTACGCAGTATAACTCAGATCAGACAAACGAACCGGTTCAAACTGCCCGAATTCTCGTTGGTTACTTAGGTGAAATGATGACACACTGAATCAAATTTGTCAATTACAAATTATACAGCTCCAGGAGGAGAAATCATCGCGACAATTTAGAATCTAAAGAGAAAAATCCACTCCATAAATTTATAAAAAACAAGATTGAGTAAAGAATACTCTTCTCGACTCTTGAATCGACCATCAACTGCAACTAGCCCAGAAATACAACCACCAACAACAACAACTACAAAACTGCCAGTGGACACCAGTCCACCAACAAAAGCAGAAATCATTATTGCAACCAAGCTAATGAAGCCTCCGAAGGCATTGGGACCAGACGAAATTCAACCCGAAGCACTGAAAACGGACCCAGATACTGAGACAGATATACTGACGCCATAATTGCAAAACGTTTGGAAGGAAAGAAAGGTGCCTACCAGTTGGAAGTCCACTGTGTGAAACTACTAAAGAAGGGCGACCTAGGCCTCAGCAAGAACTGGTGTGGAATAATGCTCTTGTCCATGCCAAGTAAAATACTAAGTCGCGTCATCCTGGAGAGAATAAAAGAAGAAGTACTGGATACAGAACTCCGCCAGCCCGGAACAAGCTAAATTCAGCAAAAGCGAATCATATGCCGATCACATTCCAACTCTACACATCGTCAAAAACTTCATCGACTTCGAAAAGGCCTTTGACAGAGTTGACCAAGAAGTAATTTGAAAACTGCTTCAACACTATGGCGTGCGGTAGCTCAAATCTTTATTAAACCCATTTATTAACAGCTATATGACAATGCCATGTGTCAGGTGATCCACAACGAAAAACTCAGCAAGGCGTTCAAAGTGAATACAAGAGTAAGATAGGGCCATCTATTATCACTGATGATATTCTTAAATCTGGTGTACTCGATTATACATCAGGCTGTGTGGAGAGAGGAGACAGGAACACGTTGGACAGATAACAAGACTCTAGAATATATGGATTTCGCAGACGATATGTGTCTAATGTCATATAAACTCGAAAACTTGAAGACGAAAACCAACAAACTGGCAGAAAAGGCTGGTAGCGGAGACAGGAATCCAGGTGAATACAGAGAAGACGGAGGTAATGAAGATAACCAACCAACAGCAACAACAACAACCAGCACCAATCACCATCAACGGGAGAGATTTAACAGAGGTTACTTCCTTTATTTATTTGCCTAGGAAGCATCGTTTCAACTGCAGTTGTTGACATGGATGAAGATGTCAGAGTCAGAATCGGAAATACAAGAGACGCCTTCATCATCCTGAAACCAGTTTGGAAATCTTCTGCATTCAGTATAAAAAACAAAATTCGGATCTTCAACACAAATATGAAGTCGGCCAATGCTTGTATATGGGTCAGAAACTTTCACTGCGTGTCACAAAACGGATTCCCAATAGGTTACAGACGCCGATCAACAGCTGCCCACTTAGATAGCTCCATACTGAAGATCAAATGGCCGGTGGTAAGACTTGGCAACAAGAGACTCTGGCAACAAATCAACAGGCAAGAGCCGATTGCTCAATAAATATGCAGGAGAAAGTGGAAATGGATAGGGCACATACTGAGGAGTGCTAGCGTGGAATCCGAGTGGGAAATAACGAGTGGGTCGTCATTGTGAGGGTGACGTGGAGGATATCGTGTGAGCTGGAGGAGATGATAGATTATGGGCATTTGTAACCCAACTGAAGAGTATAGAGGATTATAGAAGAAAGTGGAGATGTGTTGCTGAAACCATATGTTTCACTCAGAACCTAAGGGAGTAATAAATAATAAATCACTCCTTATAAGATTGTGTGATTACTAAAAGAAACAGTAAAAGTACATATGTGGTGTTGAGATCACTGATTTGTTGGTCAGAGAAACACTGACTTAGTACTACTTCACAGAACGAGATGTTATGAACTGAAGAAGTGCTTTACTTATTTTATGCAACATACTGAGGTATACACAGAGAGCGTTGGTGGCACAGTGGTTAGGACTCTCGCCGACCATGCACATGGTCTGGGGTTCGAACCCCTGGCGGAGCACACTCGATATCTAAGGTCGGCCTGTAAACTGGGCTACCGATATCCATGCTGAAAATTCCATACTTGTACTGAAAATACGGTGTGGAATCAAGCTGTAAACAAAATAAATAAATAAATAAATATGCCAATTTACGCCATCTCTGGCTAAGTAGACGTGATATCCGGCTATCGACCAAAGGACGAGTGTACTGCTCAGCAGTCCGCTCCGTCCTCCTCCTTTATGTCTGTTAGGCATAGTCATTGAAAGTGACAGATACGAAAAGGCTATCTTTCTTTGATCAAAGGTGTCTGCGTTCCATCTCCCGTGTTAGGTGACATAATAGGGTGAGTAATATTGAGTAGGTTACGCATCTGTCGAGTGCTAGATAAGTCATGGATTTGAAATCATTCGACGAGATTGTGAAGTTACACCGATTGAGAGAGACGGTTAGGACATGTGTGACGTATCTCTAGCCATCGCCTTCCTCGACAACGGGAAATGTTAGCTGACATATGATCAGGTTGTAAAAGAGCCAGTTGTGGTCAAACGAAAATATGACTTCATCAGTCAATGAAATCCAAAATAGTTAGTTTAAGCCGTCCAGCGACGTATGGAGGTGTAGACTTCCTGGTTGGGGTTCTCGGGACGGTAAAAACCAATGAAGGCTGGAGACAGTTGGTGATATGACACAAATAAATCATTTTCAATGACTGGCGCAGACGCATCCACTCCTTGTGACCTATAATACTCAATAAAACTATATGGTTCTTCGATATTACTATTCTTTTTACCTCATATCTCCGTTTACTGTCTCTGTTTCGCATTTCTTTTTACTTTCTTCTCTTGCTTTGTGTGCTGAGTGAAGTGTGGCAACTCAAACTGCTGCACTTTGGTGCCAAGTTATTTTATGCAAAGTATTGAGGTATACACAAATGTAATGAAAAAAGTAGATTAGGAGAGCAGATTATAACTTTAAATAGGCGCGTTATTTATTTATCTAAGCAACATGTACTCACTTGAACTCTAAGCAAATTGATTGTGATTGGAATACAATGACTAACTCTTGCACGAATTCCAAAACGTTTATCCATTGGACCCAATCGACAAAGTAACTAAATTTGTTTTTAAAAAAACAGAACATTTTTTCGTAGTGAATCACAGAATAAGAAAAACTGTTATTCAGATCTTTGTATTATCACATTTCAGTTTGCAGGAATTACTAGATCAGGTTGCTGAATCTAAGGGTAAAACTGAATTTGATGATTATTAGTAAAGATACATACACCTGATAAAGTGCAGGGTGGAATGAAATACACAGTCTGAACTTTCATGTTAGTCAGTGTTAAAAATATATTAGGTCATTTGTATTCATAATGTTTTCAGAGGGAAATAAAATAAAATACGTAGAATGATTGAAGTGTTACTTAATCATTCACCAAATAACTAAAGAGTTGAGGCTTTAAACCACCTTATTATGATTAGAGATGATCAATATTTGATATGATGTAATTCATATAATTATTATTGCCGCTGGATTTTTTTATTCCTTTGGATTCCTAGTGGGACATAGGGCTTCAGGCTTTCGCTTTGGAGTTTCAGTAGCATTGTGTTTTTTTGCGTGGTGTGGTTGCTAGCCTCACGTCTAACACCCCTCCCTCTTGGTCGGAATTATAACCAGCTAAGGAAGATGAAGGAGTACGTTGGCCGGAACTCGAACCCCGGACAACGTGCATAGTCGGTTAGCATTCTACCGCTGAACCACCAACGCACATATGCTGTAGTGCTGACTGACTAGGCAGGCGATTAGTGTCACTGATGGCGTTACCAACCTGCTGTCTGGGCCAACCAACACCTATGCTTCAATCACTCGGGTTTATATGCTATAGTGCTGATTGAATGGTTAGGCCAACCAACACTCACTGGTATGTTGCAGCACACCAGTACGATTGCAGTGTTTCAATTGGATAACACTCAACTATTTTAAGATGGTTATATATATATATATATAATGGTTATTTGAGTTGTTGCTGCAACTGCACAAACCAATGTTACAATCTAAATCAAAGAAAGACACACAGCTTTATTCCTTTTCACAAGGTGTGAACTTCCCTCTGTTAATATATAAGGAATCAGACTTGGAGTCGATTTTGAAAACAGTTGTCTAATCGTATTTAAATAACTAAGAAATATATTTAAAACGCTATGACATAATCATACAAAACTTCCTCATTAACTATTTTATATTGAAAAAGACATTCATGGGTGACTAACACTAAATATTTCGGCAATAGATGAATACACATTACGCTTAAGTTGTACTTAAGCTTACTTAAATATCTCATACAAAAGCTACATGTATGCTGTGAATAAATTACAATGAGGTATTTACAATATGGACAGTGTATTTAAGATAAAAAGTTTATTTGGTGACTGCTCCGTTGTAGCTAATAGGTTCAAATTTAATGGCATAAAATAAATTGACTTCCTCTTATGCCTCCAAAAATAATAAACACTTGACTAGAAATGTTGCCACCCAATAAAATTTATTTACATCTAACCTATACATACACACACGCTTATATCACTATTTTTCAAATTAATTCCAATTATACTACTGTGATGTGGAACTTGATATCAAAAGGCGTAAGTACTACTACTATACTGCTGTTAATAGAAATTTGTACGAAATTTATTTCGTGTTAATGATTGAGATGAGACACAGTCTTATAGAGTAAATAGACAAAGATTTAGTGCAGTCAAACGACATGCACAGGAATGACAAATTCAAAAATGTATTTCACATAATAGTCTTTTATAAACTGAAGTTACTGGAAAAAATGTCTACCTATAAAGCTTACTAATTTCAATCTTAACAAAGTAGGGGACAGATTAGTATCAGTGTCGAAACAAACTCTATCCACTATTTTCTAACTTGAAATGATAGTCTAAATGATAACAGCAGTTTATTGGACTAACTCGTAAGTACACTTTAATACTGATCGTTAAATTCCCCACAAAAAGATAAATTGTGAAAAACACCTGTATATAATCGGTAAGGAATTTACCTGATGTATTTTCAGTAAAAATTCTTCACTGGGAGCTGTTTCTGAGAATTCCATATAAAGAGCATGAAACAGTGCTCTTGTTATTCCTTTTTTGATCAGCACAATAGCTCGAGTTTGAAATCCTTGTGAAAACAAAATATATTTTGAAACACAAATATTACAGAATGAAACTATTTTATACAAATATGGATAATAGAATAATGCCTGCAAAAAATTGCAGCCAAATAATATGGAGAAATGGCAAACTATTTGGTACTCTGACTCATGTAAATTCACTTAACAGTTCAGACACATCAAAACATAAACTCGAAGTAAGAGTTAATCACCATTAGAAATGGGACTGATAACTAGAGTTTAAAAAAGAATATGAATCTCGGTTTTCTTTCAGTTATACATCTGTAGTTCTTAAACCATCAATCTGAGTTTCTACGTTTATACAACTGCAGCAAAGAAGTATCTAATTAAGTTGCAAATGAAAAGGATCAGTATAATATAAAGTACGATTGAACATTTTTCAAATAATACGCAAGAAGACAAACACACGTTTATTCCACAGCAGCTTAAACAGTTGCAAGTTTTTCCTCTTACCTGATTTCCCGAGAAGTCGGAACAAAATACGAACGATTTGATTCCTCACAATCCTGTCGTTCAAAAACTAAAAGGAATAGTGATATTTCGAACGAATACCTGTAGGAGGAAAGCCAGATGGCCTAAGTACACATCATGATCAAAAAACATTTTACGGCATTCATCTATCAGTCATTTAAGTTCTTAAATTAAAATTAACTACTTGTAGATAATAAGGAGCTAATCTTTTTCACATTGCACCGTATAGTTTGAAGGTCTTCTTCCTTGCATTTGACAACATTAGCATCTGAGCAGTAATATGCAAGGGACAAAATAAGACCCTCAAGCTTCTCCTCCATAGTTATCAATACCAATTTTTTTAATAATAATTCTTAATTCTGGTTGATAGCATGTCAAAGTTTTGCCAAGACTACGACCTTGCAGTTTGAGGGACTAAAACAAGAGTAGTGGAAATACTTTGCGTCCATTTTCTAAAGGCATAATGATGCGAATAAACCGAAATTCGGCCAGTGAAAGTATTCTTAATGGACTTTAACGTACTTTTTAATTTCTAGGGACTTGCTAAAATACAGTATGGTCAGTATGCTTTCGTGACATTTCTGAGAAAATATATTTACCTTAAAGGTTGCGAACAGCTGTCTCACTACATTTTGTATATGTACATATATTTCGTAAAGCAAGGACAACATTCCTTGAGATTTCTTTTGACGTCTATTGTAATACTTAAGAAATCGTGTTTTAGTTTTTCGATCTCGGCTGACTTAATAAAGAACACTGTTTTGCCAAACATATATTCGAAATTTCTTTGTCCGGCAATGATACAAAGAACAACTGGACGCGACAGAATATCTTAAGGTACCTCCCATGCTGATGACCATGTGACGGCTAATTTAGTGTTTGCTCATCACACATTTGTTTCAAAGTTATACACATAATCCTTTCCATTAATTTTCTGAGCTGCACCGTGTCACTGAAAGACAGAAGCCTTAATTACAGCTCTAAAAATTATCAGGAACTACCAACGTACTTATGTACCTAATCTGCTCCTTTTCACTATATGAAACATCCCACAGCAAACCCTGGGAGATTCGCAGAGCCAATAGTGAACTGTTGTACTGTAGTGCATTATTTCACTCACCAAGTTATATACTCTCGGTTATCAGAGAAAATGATATCTGAAAACCCTATTATCTCGTTCAGAAAGCATAATGTCCTTCCACTTTTGAATTGTTTTACAGTAAGCATATCAAACTCCTAAGAAAACTCTAATCCTACGGAATAACCGGGAAACTTCTCAAATGGATAAATTCTTCTCTCACAGAAAGAGACCAATTAGTCAAAATCAACCACCAGTGGTCTTCATCAAAGCCGATAACCAGTGGTGTAAAACAGGGTAGCGTTCTTGGCCCTATTCTATTCCTCTTATTTATAAATGACAGTCTCTGTGATCAAGTATGGCAAGCCATACCTCTTAGCAGATGATCTGAAGATAGTATATGATTATGGGTACGAAGATATGAGCGTCAAAAGCAAAATCCAACATGACTTAAACAATCCAGGCGATTGGAGCAAAAAGTGCCAACTGACTTTCAACGCAGACAGGTGCGGTATAGCCCACCTTGGACTCTGGAAACCGCGAATGTGTTTGTATATGTGTGGTAAGCTCCTCTGAAAGCTGAACAAAGTCACAGATCTCGGGGTGGTATACCCAGATTTAACCTTTCCAATAATGCAAATAAGGTAGTATCCGACTGTAAACGACTTACTGGCTTTCTACTGCGTAACTTTTCCTCTCAAGAAGCAAGATTAGCTATATAAATAAATAAATAAATAAATAAATTTATTCTCATAGTACAGTACATGAGGTACGCCAGTTTACAGGCATCATCAAATTGTTACAGAAATAGAACCACATAATTCAATCACAATTTACAGGCAGTAGCAAGATATGCTTCACATGTTCGTTGGAGATTGTACATACACTTAATAAATGTTAATCCTAGTAGTATAAAACAGCCTTTTCACTTATATACAATCATTTCTGTGCAAAGTTGGAAAAATCTGCTGGATTGTCAGTGAGTGCAACACAACAGGAAATACAGGAGTATTGTCTTCGCATTAACAAAAAAACCAGGTCTTTGGTGGATGGATTATAAGTGCCTGGGAAAAAAATAAAGCTTGAAGTAAATATTCATACATAACTTTGTTGTGTGCAGAGTCCTCGAATTATAGTCCATTGATGTGTTATTTTGGAATCAGTGATGTGTTTATCTCATTTGATCTTCAATGTCATTGTTGGGAGTAAGTACATAAGCTTCACACGCATTAATTAATGGATTTCTACTGCTTGTGGGTATTTTCTTAGCGTGAGGAAGGTTTATGAAATTCAGCTGTTCCGACAGGAGTTGAGAATATTAACTGCTCAGCAACATTATGGATATAAGTTCATCACATTATCTAAGGAAAGGTGGGTTGCAGTTGGTGAGGGATATATGGTGCCCAACGAGCGTTCATCTGTCCATGTGATGTTGTGGTGAGTTATACCTTTTTCATGTTGTCGGTTTATGTATTCGCCCCAAACTTGAATGTTGTGCTCTCCTGTCTGCAGACCGAAAAAAAGTTGAAAGTGTCCAGAGATTCCTCAGGAAACGCATAATAGGGTTTGACCAACAAGTGGAATATGTTGACAGGTGTATGCGTCTGAATTTAGAACCTCTGTGGTTAGGGAGAGTGAAGTACAACTTGTTTCTACTCTTCAAAGCCATTAGGAAACATTGTTGCAGTAACTCATCCATAACGTGGGAAAATATTAAATCATATCAGCTGCGAAACCACAACTACCTTGTCAAGGTGGCTAACCCACAGATAAATCCATCAGGGCAAACTTTTTCACCATTAAATATTGCACTCTTTGGAACCAACTACCATCTGAAATTAGATGTTGTGAAAACTCCAATGGGTTCAAACGGAGCCTAGAAAGACACATTAACATGTCCACCCTAGCTCGTCTAAATGACCACAACTGTTAGTAGAACGGAAATTGAAAGCCAGTCCAGTCTTCAGTATAGTCACAACGTATATTTCGACTCTACTACTTACGCAGTAAACGTTTAACTAATTTACTGATTTAAATTCCCTACAGTCTTCACTGGTTGTGTTGGTATAAGTAACTCTGGAAATAATTATACTGGCGACAACACCTTTCAATATTTTATATATATAGTTAATAATACACTGCTATTTTTCGTGTCACAATGACCTTAGTTAGTCAATAACTACCTTTTCTCACATACTTTTCTAAAATGTATAATTTTTAAAGATTTTTCAGTGTGCGCTACAGGTTATCACTCCCTTACAAGGTTGGTGGGACACCGGTAACCTTCAGTATTCAAAATCAGTAGGTTGAGAGATAACGGCTTGTACAATAACACTCATGTAGCACGGAAGATTGAAGAGAGTGATAACGTGTGAGAAGGGGGAAACAAATGTTCAAGGGAAATATAGGGCATTATGCACATGACTAGCGGTGTACAGAGAAATATGAGAAAAAATGTCAATGGCGTTTTAGTGCGATTTTAGAGTTTTAAGTTGTTTTTTGTTTCTGTCAATGTTATTACTTTATTTCTGCAATTTTTGGCATCTATTATTATTGCTTTAAACTCTGTACCAGTACGCCCCACACACTTATGGTGCGTGGAGAGCCGGTGATACCAAGCCATTGCCCAGGCTGAGACGGCAGAAAAGTGACTCATTATCTCTAAGTTGCGTCTCAGGTCAACGCTCCACTCCTCTGGGTCAACAGCAAGTATCAACCGACAAAAAAATAACCGATATATCAGCGCAGTGAGAAGAACAAGGCAAAGGAAATGAAAATAGAGGTGACTAGTATTTCAAAATAAGAATAAGATTACTACAAAAGCTTATGCCGAATAAATGACAGGAATAATGGTGCAAATGTGAAAGTTACACGCAAGGTTGAAATAAAACAGAGGATATTGCTGACACTCCGGAAACTGACGAAGGTTGCAGGGCAAACGTGCAAAGAATCAGAAGTGATGAGTAATTAAAATTAGTAAAAACACCGTTGCGGGCTGGATAACTAAAATGGTGAAAAACGTTCACCTATACTTGAAAATCTGTCAAAATAGATTGAGAGGGCTAAAAGTTACAGAATAGAAGTGAGTTCAGTAGGCATAAGAATATGTGATAGTCCATGCGATTGTTCAAAACAAGTTTTTTAAGCACATTTATAAGAAACATTTTGTTTACGCTTTCTCTTGGTATTTTTACACATATTTTAGTTTCTTTCTTTTTGTACCAATGCCGGTAGAAAAAAAGCGGAGCACTGTCTGTAAGCCTGAATCACGAAACTCAATGAAAGCCAACATCTCGAACCAGTCTGGCGGGGATTCAAGATAAACTGTGGTGATTGGTGTAGGAAACCTAGGGACATTCATCCGCATTTAAAAGCACTATTAGTACTCTGTAACGAGAAGAATCAGGAGGATTAGCACTGAGAAAGATGGCTGCTGCCAAAAACGAAAACTGAAAGAGTAACTGTTATGCAAAGCAACTACAATAACGGGCTAAAAGAAATAAAAGATACTAAATAATTTGGCTGCGAAATCATTGGTTAACAAATTTGGCGTACCACTTGGGCCAGTGTACGCGTTGTCCTGTTCGTATAACCGGTGCTTTAGGTGTTGTAGTAGGCTTACTGGGGGCAACAGGATGTTTATTTACCGTGTCTGGCTTGGAATTAGACGCAAGAGTCGGTGGGTAAGGGGGAGGAGAGGCTAACGATTCTTCTATGTATGTCGCTTTAAGTGTGTGAAGACTGAATGTGTTATGGTGACCAAATCGATCGATAACGAAGATTTTTTCCCACTAATGCCCTTGAAAGTTCTATCATAAGGGGTCGCAGCGCCACAGTGCACGAAAACATGGGTGCAGTTTTCAAGTCTGCCGTCTGCTTGCACCTTCTTGTACTGAAAGCGTGTGGGAGTTGGATGAAGTCGTTGCATAATGCGCTTTTGATGATTAGCGTAAGAGTGGATATCAACAGCACTTAGCTGAGCACCATCTAATGAAATAATCTCGCCGGGCAAGCGGTGCGTGGTTCCATACTCCAACTCGCTAGTGATAAACTGGACATCAACCTTGAGAGTTGAGCGGATGCCAAGGGAAACCGAAGAAAGGGACTCTGTTCTTTTTCGTGTTATACACATCCATCAACGTAGCTTTAAGTTGGCGGTGAAAACACCCAACTAGTCTATTTCCAGATGTATGATATGCCATTGTTCTGATGCGTTTCTCACATCATGGTTTATACTAGGCC